TGGTAATGTAAATAATGTCTAACTTTAAAGTGTAAGCAAATAAGTTATGTTTAAATAAGTAAAGTAAGTAGAAAAGATAGAAGATAGTGATAAGTAAAATAAGATGATAATGAATGTAATAATTGTAATGTGGTTATAGTGATATATAACTAAATAGATGATAGATGATTCTGTTTTCCATTTAGAAACAGTTTTTAAGAGTGTTTCAGTTTTTCAGAAATTTTCAGAAATTATTTTCAATTTTCAAAATGAAAAATTGTGTTAGTAAACATGTTTTTTGTTTTCTATTTTTCAATTCTTAGATATTTCTAGAAATTTCTAGTTAGTAAACGGCCCCTTATAGTTTGGGGCTTTCTTCGAGGTGTATTTATCCAATCGTTATACCCTGCACCACAACGCACAGTGCACTGTGCGCCCCGCGTCTCCCAAAACGATGTCGTTTTGGGAGGCGCGGTAGGAAGTTGACATGATTATGTATATTTGTTTATACAATTATGTATATTTTTTATTATGTACATTTTTTTTATATAATTATGTACATCCGAATCAGGAAAATTTTGTGTATTATGTTAAGAGTTGATGTGTATTATATTAAAAGTTTATGTTTATTATGTATTATGTTAGATTATGTGTATTATCTTTTAAAAAAGAGTATGTGTATTTTGTTATATAATTATGTACATTCATGTATACAATTATGTGTATTCTAGTATAACATTATGTACATTTTTGAACATGAGATTTTTTTTTAAGGAAAATTAACTGCCAAACACTGGGTAGCGAAATTTAGAAAAAAAAAAAAAAAAAAATTGAAACGACGTCGTTTTGCATCTGGACGCACAACGCAACGCAACGTGCGCCGTGGTGCAAGATATAAATTGCCGTATTTATCTTTACCATTAAAGGTTCTTTTTCACTCAACTCTTTTATATTATTGATGAAGGAATTAGGCTCGGGTCCAAAGAGTGATTTGAGCCCAATAATATAAGTATGGAGCATGTTAGGCCTAAAGAGTTAAGGTCTTAAGGAGGAGTCCAAGTTGAGCCTAACGAGTCAAGCAAATTATGCTGTGCAACCGATTGCACCTTGCAAAGTGCATACGGTTACAAAACAGCGCCGTTTTGGTTAAAAAAACGCGCGTTCCACTTAAAGAAAAAATCAGGTTCGATTCCCGGCAATAGCATTTTTATATATCCAGAAATTCATAACTATATATCCACAAATTCATAACTATATATCCACAGTGAATGAATGAAGTAAAAATCCATAATGAATGAATGAATGAAGTAAAAATTCACAATGAATGAAGTAAAAATTCACAATGAATGAACTAAATATCCACAATGATTGAACTAAATATCCACAATGAATGAACTAAATATCCATAAATTCATAACTATATATCCAGAAATTCATAACTATATATCCAGAAATTCATAACTATATATCCAGAAATCCATAACTATATATCCATAAATTCATAACTATATATCCACAGTGAATGAATGAAGTAAATATCTACAATGAATGAACTAAATATCCACAATGAATGAACTAAATGTCCATAAATTCATAACTATATATCCACAAATTTATAACTATATATCCAGAAATTCATAACTATATATCCACAATAATGCTATTGCCGAGAATCGAACCTGAATTTTTTTTTTTAAAGTGGGACGCACGTTTTTAGTCAAAACGACGCCGTTTTGCATCGTATGCACCATGCGCATGGTACATTCGGTTGCACAGCATAACTATTGAACGAGTCAAGGAAGGGAAATTTATAACGTGCATTGTGGGCCCTAGATTCAAACGATGCCGTTTTGTGCATCTATGTTAACGGATTAATTTTTAACTCTCGTTCCCCGTTATATGCTATTTCCTTTATTTTTTAATTTTAGCTGTTTCTTTTTTTTTTTTCGCGGTTTTTTCTCTCTCGCAAATTTTTAGACATTGCATCTCTGGATTTGATCTTCATTGCGTCGGCCCAACAGAAATTGGCAATGACAGACGAGATTAATGCTCTGCAAGAATTGCAAATGACAGATGAATCTATTCAAGATTTTTTCAAACAAATTTTACAGTTGCATCTATATTGATTTTCACTTGTTTTTTATTACATTGTTGATGCAATTAATTGAATTCATATATGAGATTTGTTTATTACTTGTCTGAGAACAGTTTCTAGGATTATTGTTGAATTATTAGTTTGATTGTATTTCTATTCGAGTTGTTGTGTATATGTGATTAGTGTTTTTATGCAGATGAAGTTGAGTAGTTGAGTTATGCGTCACGTGTGATGAGTTTACGTGTCTAGTGTTATCATTTTATGTGCTTTATGGTCATGAATTCTGTATCTAAATCATCGGAGTAATGTAAACATTAAGATGAGTTATGCGTATCTTGTGATGAGTTTCTGTGTTTGGTGTTTTGATTTATGTGTCTTATGCTCACGAATTTTGTACCTAAATCACAAGGGTAGTTGTGTAAACACTTTTTATGGTTATGTGTATTGTTTTACGAATTTATATGTCTTATTGTAGCTAGATGCATTAAAGACTTTATTTCTTTGTAGAATATGACTGGATTTATTCGGCATACCCTTAACCCCCTCTACCCTTAACCCCCTCTACTTAGAAATATGGTGTTCATTATATGTAGGATTCAATCTCTATTTTACTTAATTAAAACCTTGTGTTTTGCAACTGATCAGGATTTGTTATGGTTGTCAGTGAGTTCTCTTGATGAAGCATATGAGATGTATAATGACTATATGCTTTTAGATTATGTTTTAATGTAAGGAGGGGTAAACAAAGATATAGTGGTGTTACAAAAATAGTAAAGATGAAGAAGTTTCATTGTTCGAAGGTTGGATTTAAACTGAATTCAGGAAAAGGTTATTACTCAAAAGTTGATGTTCGAACATGTTGTTGTGCATTTGTTCAATTTGATTTAGATGGGGGATGTGCACTTTGATAAAGCATGAGAAGCTGCATAATAATGAATTGGTTCCACCGAGCAAAAGTTATCTTCTATGGTCACATAGAACAGTGTCTAAAGGATTTGGAGAAGAGTGATGTTTCCTTGGCAGATGGTATAAGGTTTCATAAAACGCAATCGGGGGGTGGGGGGGGGGGGTCACCACTTTTTGGTTTTACAAGTAGAGATGCATACAATTCTCTATCTACTGATTTATTGAAGACATTAGATGGAACTGACTCAACTTCATTAATTGAAATATTTAGACGAAGGCAATCAAGTGAAAATTGTTTTTTCTTTGATTTTGAAGTTGATTCTGAGTCGAGATTGTGTAGTTTTTTTAGAGGGATAAACAAATGAAATAGGACTATGAATTGTTTGGAGACTTGTTAGTCCACAATATGACATATCGTATTAACGAATATGATATGATTTGTGGTCCAGTTGTTGATATGAACCACCATTGCATGAATGTTATCTTTGGATGTGATTTTTAGATGAATGAAATGATTGAGTCTTTTGTATGGTTATTTAGGTCATTTTTGAGATCCTTGGCTTCACTGTCGACCCCAGTCGCCGTTGGCCACTTATTTCCAACGGCAGACTTCGTCAAAGAAGTGGGTATAGTAGCAAGAGGCTTTGATCTGGGCTTCTTAGTGGGCGTATCAGGGGCGAAATGTGCCTCCAGGTCATGCATGGGCTTGGAAGCGATGGGTTTCACATTCGGATTGGAGTCGGGATCGTCGTTAGATTCAGAAGCGTGGAAAATGCCGAGGAAGAATTGCGGGAGAATTCGAGGAAGAAGAATCGTGTGTGATCTGGAAAATGACTTCCCCCAAAAAGAGGGGAAGTTGTTTTCTAGGAAAACATACCCAATTTCCCATTTGACTAGAAATCATTTTTCTTGACTTTAGTTTTCCAATCATTACCTAACACTAAATCATTTTTTCGGGTTTCCAAACACACCCTTAATTTATTACGTACTTTTCGCTACTCTTTTTGGAAGAAATGGTCACTGAAAGTCGACGAGCCGTGTCCCTTTTGTTTAAAGATTGTTACAGTTTCTTATGTATTTATTTATAGTTTTTCACCGCACTTTTTTTTTAACTATACACTACACTTTTTTAAAAGGGTAGCGAAAAGTAAAATTTTAATGTTCTGATCTTTTTTGCACTAATGTAGTAAAATTGACATTTTGAGTGGTCATTTTGTAGGACTAGTGTATTAAATCAATAAACATAAATTACAAACACATCATACTAACCAAAGAGGCTAAACCAAGAAAAAAAAAAAGTGTGGTCACAGTGAGATTAAAATAGCAAATTACCATGACAAACATTTACATTATATCTATAAATAATAATTTTTAATAAAAATATTTTGTTTAAAAATTTTAACACATAAAAAATAAAATAAAAATTCTACCTTGTCGATTACCAACAATATTAAATAAAACATGGTGATATTTTTGTAATATTGAAATGATTTCTAATAGTATATGATTGTAACTAGTACCATTGAATTCGATGTTCGATAATATTAGGTACCATTGATAACAAATTTCAAAATACCAAACTAAATTTCGTACCTGATTATGAATATACACACACGCGCGCATGAATACAAAGCAAAAAATATGGGTGCGTGAAAGTGATAGAGAGATCTGACTGGGTTACTAAATGAGTCAAATACCACAATTACTCCCCTAATATGAAAATGTATGAATAGGAAATAAAAAGTCCACAATCCAATCAACAAATCCCAGCCGCCCAAACTTAGAGTCCAACGGTTGCAACTAATCTGCATGTTTGTATTATAAAAGCGGTTTGTATTTGAATAAAATCATATATATATATATATATATATATATATATATATATATATATATATATATATATATATATATTGTACAACATGAGCGTAAGAGGTTATTAAAAGTACAAAATTTTCATTACTAATAATTAATTTGAGTATAGTAGGGTTTAAAGGTGCCTCTTACATATTACAATCAAAAATATTATTATATTTTAAGGGAAAAAAGGAAAATTACAAATTTTATGTAAAAACAAGGCTCTTGCAGTCTTGTTCAACATCTACTTAAGTTTCTCTATTAGTTAACGTTCTTCCTTTCTTCACCATCTCTTGTCAATATTTGCACTTTGCATAGCCTGAAAATTTTCCAAATTTACAAAAAAAAAAATAATAAATAAATAAATACGGAGTATTAAACAACAATAAAAATAAATTTTAGAATTTTAACAAAAAAAAAAAAAAGAAAAAAAAAAAAGCGTACTTGGATTTTTAGAAGCGAGTGTTCCGGTCTGCTGAAAATCACAGTCAAAATCGTGTCTTCCTGCGCCTTGATAGTATGCATTCATGGCATACGCCGCATGAGCCCGAACAGTGTTGGGTAGAAAGCACGCGCCGCCCTTCTGAATCGGGTCGCAATTCAAGCCCAGCCCGCACACATAATCAATATTTCTCTGCAGCGCCTCCTCATCCGCTCCGGATTTGGGGAGGCACCATTTCTTCCTCGCGGGGGCGGCTGACGGGCTGGGCGGCCCGGCCCGTGGGTGCGAAGGGAACGTTCCACTTGCCTGTCAGATAGCCAAATTTTACAAAGCAATAATCAAACCAATTATGAAGCAGCAAAGTTGTGCAAGAAAGTATGTAGTATGATGATGACGAGGATGACGAACGCCACCGGCGGCGGCGGAGGCTACCGTTCGCCGGAGGATGCCGATGTCGTAGACAGGCGTCATATCGGGCTGGAAAAGCCCGAAGTTTCTCTCGCAAGTCGGGCCAGGTTTCAAGTCCTCGTTAAACAACGCGAAAATGTACGTCTCAAAGGTCCTGTTGGGCATCAGGGGCGTCCCGATTCCTGACGTCACATGTTTCATCAACTTCCGGTTGTACTCGGCGGCGCTGTCGGCGTCAACTCCGGCCTGCCCGGGGTCCCCCTTCGACGGCCACCCTGTTTCAGCGATCACCAGATCAACATCCTCAAACCCAAGAACTTTCATGGCAGAATAAACCCCGTCTAGCTGCCCATCCAGCATGTTCTTGTACGTAAGCTTCGTGTTTTCATCGAACGCCCCTGAATTCAACCGGAACAGGGCGAAATCCAGAGTGTCCTCGGAGCTGCCGAAGAAAGGGTAGGGATTAACCATGAACGGCGAGTTCGTAGCTCTAAGAAACCCCAACAATGGCTTTATAACGTGGGTGTCGTACCCCGGCCGGAATTTCCCGGTGGACGGCGGGCTGGAGTTGGAGAGAATGCCCAGAGAATGCGGGGTAGATATCTGAATGTGGCGGTGGAGGGACTCCGCCGCCAGGGCGGAGTGGAGCGCCTGCATGGCCGGGACGAGGTTGGCGATCAAGAGCTTGTTGGCGGTGGAGATAACCTCGTTGCCGACCAAGATTCGTACGATGGTGGTGGCGGGGACGTAAGGGAGGATATTGAGTTTGATCCATTGTTGGGCGTAGGTGTATTTTGTGAGACGTGGGATTTGGTCGTTGGGGATCGTGACCGTGACGGCTACGCCGGTGTGAGCGAAGGCTTTGAGGATGTCGGGGTTGGTGTCGAAGAGCCTCACGCGGTTGATGATGGTGGACTCGGTGAGGAAACGCGCCACCTGTGGCGGCGGAGGAAGGTTGTTCGCCACCGTGCCATAGTTCACTCCGATTATCCCTTCACTTCCTACATACAACACAAATTAAACATATAGCTTTAGCTTAGCTAGATCGATCCAAGCTAAGTTTTGTTTGATCAAAATAACATATATATATATAATATACCTTTGATGTAAAATGGTGGTAGAAGGAGGAGGAATGTGTAGATGAGAGAAGGGAATTTCTCCATTGGTCTGTTTGTGAAGTTAGGGAGATCCGATCCAATTCTTTGGATGATTTGCTAAGGCCTAAGGGTAAAGAAAGGCATATCTCATATCATCTCATCTGATAATAGATGCTTTTCTTGCAATTCCATCTTTAGCTTGGAGTGTGTAGTGAGCAAAGGAATATTCACAAGCCTGCTCTCTTTCAAGGATATAGCTAATAGCAATGCTAGGTATAATGGTTTTATATTAACTAAGACTAAGAAATTTAACTAACAATGAAAGTTGTTTAAAAAAAAGTGTCATCCTGCATCATAAACCAGCACCATGATCCCGTATCATAAGTGATATTTAGATTTATAAATCATTTATTTTTTTTCGTCTAGAATTTTTTATTGCATTGCATTGTTTCAGCCTAGCTAGCTTCATTTCATCATCTCGATCGATTGAATTTCCTTTATTATTTTGAGTATGTATGCAATATCAGATAGATAGATCAGATGGAGTGAGCTGAGTCATGATGTGGATCTGTCAATTTTCATTTCTACTACATAAACTCTCAAAATTCTACTCCCTCTAGTCGTTGTGGAAGGCGCCGAACAGCTGGGCGAGAGATTCCACCTCGGGTCTTCGGTAGAACACGCATAGGTTCCACATGGTCTCCTTCTTTACTCTTCTCTGTTTCGGATTCAATGATATTTTCACGCAATTATCACCGCCGGAAAAGAGAAGCAGTGGCGGTCAGTGGCGGTGGGTGGTAGGAAATAGGGAAACAGTTTAGTTTTTTTTTTTTTTTAATTAAAAATGTGACTAGAAATAAGGTCACATCAGCTTATTATCCGGTCATGTCATCAGATTCCGGGAAAACTTATAAAAAATTCTAGAGGAAAAAAAAATATTATGATTTATGACTCAAAATATCACTTATTAAAGATCATTGTACGACATAAATAATCAAGAATGATTCACGATGCTAGATGACACTTTATTAACCAAAAAAATAAAAACAACCAATGGAAGTATAATTTTTATGTTTTATATGTTTTACGGACGAAATTTAGATATACAATCTAAAATGTGGAAGATAAAAGCAGACCAAAAAAAAAAAAATCCCAACAACTCATCTTCACTTTAGTAGGTCTAAAATATTGTAATTCAACATTTCAAAAGAAGTTCTAAATTAATCATCTCATTTAAAAGTTGTTATCAACTAAAAAAAAAAAAAAAAAAAAAAAAGGAGGAATGGAAGGTATTTATCCAAAAAAAAAAAGAAAAAAGAAAAAAAAAGAAACAAAATTAATTGTCTTACCTACATATTTAGGGAAGCGAAAAATTATTTTCATGGTCTCCAAATTTCTATAGAAAGGAACAACTCTATATGAAATTACATTCTCTATCTCTCAAAGAATATAATGCAAAGTTTAAATTTTATGTATGTAAGGCCATCTCCAACCCATTACACCAAATTCTACACCAAAAGGAATATTCTCAGAATATTCTTACACCAAATTTTATTCATCTCCAACCCATTACACCAAATTTATTTCTACACAAAAATAATTTGTTTTATCATAAATTATAACTTTTATTTTTTACTTCAATTTTTTTAATATGAAATTTAATTGTAATGCAAATAATATTTTTATTCCACAATAATATAACATATAACAACTATTACATTTAATTTTCGGAATTACCATATAGTTGCCACAAATGCTCAATCAATGCATTACGAAGTGCATAATGCACTTCTCTATCTTTTATTTGTCTATGTCGAGCAAGAAATTCTTGAAATAGAGTAGCTTCATCTCTACGTATATCAACTTCAATAGCCGGCGCTTCTCTCCACCTTTGTATATCCGCTTGCTCATCACGTTCATCTTCAATTATCATATTGTGCATTATGATGCAAGATGTCATTATATCATGTAATACACGTTTATCCCAAAAACGTGCCGATCCCTTGACTATTGCAAATCGTGACTGGAGGACCCCAAATGCGCGTTCGACATCTTTTCTACATGCTTCTTGCATCGTTGCAAATAACTTTTTCTTTAGCCCTCGAGGTTCATGAATGGTTTGTACCAAGGTTGACCATTTTGGGTATATACCATCAGCTAAATAATATCCCGTATGGTACTGTTCTCCTTGAATAACATAATGAGCTGGGGGTGCTATACCATTTGCAATGTTTGCAAACAAATGAGACGCCTCCAACACATTAATGTCATTATTTGACCCTGGCAAACCAAAATGTGCATGCCATATCCACAAATCATAATCAGCTACAGCCTCAAGAATAATAGTTAGTTCTCGACTACGCCCAGAATATTGTCATGCCCAAGTTGTTGGACAATTTTTCCAAGTCCAGTGCATACAATCTAAACTCCCAAGCATCCCTGGAAAACCACGACTCTCGCCAATTTGAAGCAACCTTGCAACGTCATTAGCATCAGGTGCTCTTAGATAGCGCTCCCCGAAGACCTCTACAATTGCTCGGCAGAATCTCTTCACACTTTCAATTGCAGTTGATTCTCCAATTTGAATGTATTCATCCGTTGCATCCGCTAGTACTCCATAAGCCAAAATTCGAAAGGCTGCTGTTACTTTTTGTAAAGTAGACAAGCCTAGCCTTCCAATTCTACTCTCCGTTGCACAAAGTAGTTGTCATGATCTTCAACGGCGTTGGCAATTCGTAAAACCAAATTTCGACTCATTCGAAATCGTCTAAAACATTGTTTCATTATATTTTGGATTTTCTGAAAAATAATTACCCCATAACCTTCTATCACCATCTACACGATCACAATGAATCACTCTATGGCCAGGAATCGAACCACCGTGCCTTGAGTTGCTAGCTTGATTTGCCATAGTTTCCATATAGTAAGCCATGACAGCGTTGTTGTTAGCATATACATTTAGTAATGTTTGCTCTTGTGATTGTATTAGAGTATTGAAATCAAGATCATCCTCTGATTGTTGGGATAAGGGTGAGGGTGAAGGTGAAGGTGAGGATGAAGATGAGGATGAAGAAGAAAATGGTATAGGGCGTTTACCATTGTTGGAATTCATAATTGAATATTGATATGATGAAGAGATGAATGATAACTTTGTATGTGATGTACTAGTATTTATAATAAGATATGAAATCTTATCACAAACTTTATCAGAAGTGTTTTCAACTGTTGGATTAAATCTCAACAATCTTAACCATTCATTGGTATGCAAATCTTTCCAACACGGAATCCAACAAAAGATATGAAATCTTATCACGAACTTTATCAGAAGTGTTTTAAACCGTTGGATTAAATCTCAACAATCTTAACCATTCATTGGTATGCAAATCTTTCCAACACGGAATCCAACAAAAAGATATGAAATCTTATCACAAACTTTATCAGAAGTGTTTTAAACCGTTGGATTAAATCTCAACAATCTTAACCATTCATTGGTATGCAAATCTTTCCAACACGGAATCCAACAAAAGATATGAAATCTTATCACAAACTTTATCAGGAGTGTTTTAAACCGTTGGATTAAATCTCAACAATCTTAACCATTCATTGGTATGCAAATCTTTCCCACACGGAATCCAACAAAAGATATGAAATCTTATCACAACCTTTATCAGAAGTGTTTTCAACCGTTGGATTAAATCTCAACAATCTTAACCATTCATTGGTATGCAAATCTTTCCAACACGGAATCCAACAAAAGATATGAAATCTTATCACAAACTTTATCAGAAGTGTTTTAAACCGTTGGATTAAATCTCAACAATCTTAACCATTCATTGGTATGCAAATCTTTCCAACACGGAATCTAACAAAAGATATGAAATCTTATCACAACCTTTATCAGAAGTGTTTTCAACCGTTGGATTAAATCTCAACAATCTTAACCATTCATTGGTATGCAAATCTTTCCAACACGGAATCCAACAAAAAGATATGAAATCTTATCACAACCTTTATCAGAAGCGCTTTCAACTATAAATACTACACTTGGATTGCCAAAGTAAAACCACTTCTCTCTGGATTCTTAAACCTCCTCTCAAACACTCCTCCATTCTCTTTGCAAAATGTCGAGCTCACGCACAACCCGAACTGCTTCATACTCAATCGAGGAAGATCAACTTCTATGTCGTGTGTATTGTGATATTAGCCAAGATCCTGAAGTTGGTAAGAATCAAGCACAACAAGCTTTTTGGACTCGTATTGGGATTGAGTACCATCAAATGCTACCAGCGAATAATGGTAATATTCGATCTTGGCGATCTCTTCAAACTCGGTTGCAAAATATATTGACAGCTGTTTCAAAATTAAGAGGATGCATCCGCCAAATTGAAAACATGAACCCGAGTTGAGCATCTGAAAAAGACATTGTGAGTACTTTATAAATGTTTTATTAGTCATTTGCTTAAATTGTGAGTACTTTACACATATTTGTTATTTACTTGCTTATATTTATGATTTATAACAGCTAGATAGAGCAAAAGATTTAATGTCACAAGATACCAAATATCCAAAGGGGTTTAGATTTGATCACGTATGGCCTATCCTTAAGGATCTCGAGAAATTTAGCTCTATCCTAGTAGAGACGCAAGTTTTGGTAGCTGAAAGCGAAATACCAACTTTCAAGGATCACAATCACTGCATGATATAGCAGATAAGTCAATAGGCTCATCATCTTTTTTTTTGTTGATTTGAATGACGATTTTGAAAGTGCAGACCAGGTTAACGAAAACAACAATGCAAGCGAGCGTCCTACGGGAAGGAACAAGGAGAAAAAGAAGAAACAACTGAATGAAGAAAATAAGGAATTTTTAAAATCCATTCAGACAGAAAATGAACAAATCAAAAAAATGTTCCAACATCATCAAGATATACTTGAAAAAAATTATGAGGTTCAGTTGTTAAAAGCTCAGACTGAAGCAAAGAAAGTAGAGTTGGCAGAACGACAAGAAGCGAACAGAGAGCGTCGAGAAGAGAAGAGAGAGCGTCGAGAAGAGAACAAAATCTTATGCATAAATTTAGATTCAATCACAGATCCAATAGTGCGTGTGTCTATAATGAATGAGCAACTACAAATTGTTGCAAAGAGAGCTAATGAGCAAACACATGGAGGAGGGGGTGAATCAAGTAGTCAATTTAATCAATATTTTGATAATTTGGGAG